CTTATTACCACCAGGTATGTCTGAAAAAAAAAACTAAAAATAATAGCTAATAAGGCCTTCTATTATGTATTTATAGACAATACACTAAAATTAATGATACATAAAGGATGAGGATAAAGAGTAATTAGGAATAAGACTGATTTTTCCTAAAGTGGTCAATAGCCCCAATCTCACCCTGCCACAGAGTATTGGAACAATACTAGGGAGTAGATTTTCTTTTCTGGGAAAGCACTGTAAAGTGATGTGAATTTTTTTTTCTGAAAAGGGAGCAGCAGGCCAAATAAGTTTGCAGACCTCTGTTATAAAGTGTTTGCACTGCATATAAATACCATATTTTGAGAACTCTGAGGTCCTCTCGGAGTGGGTGTGGGCAGCGTCCCCCCAGTCGCCCTTACTTTTTGAAGCTCTGATAGCCATATCCACAGCCCACAACGATCATCGCAGAAGCTCATCTACCTGCCCAGCTTATAGACTCATGTCTAAATTCGGGAGAAATCAACTAGCTACAAAAATTTAACGATACACCAGACTCAGGTTGAAAAATTTGGGGTGCCCTCAGGATGGGCGTGGGCCGAGCCCCCACCCTGGCCAATGTCCCAGCAGCTGCACTCACATCCAACAGCAGCCACTATGTCAACAGCTAGACTCCACCCTTTCACAACCAACTCTGCAGTGACCACAAACTGCCAAAAGTTGCAGGTACATTGGTTCTTTGGCGGGGCACTTCAGGGTCTTCTCAGAGTGGAGGTGGGAAGCCTTCCCCCAACCTGGTGTACTTCCGGAAACCCTAGTAATCACACCCACATCCCACAACCACCACCATGTAAGCTCAATGCCTAGTTAAATATTCTGAAGTTTCTAAAGCGCATCACTGCATCGATGAACGCACAACATCGCCAAACTCCACAGTACTGACATCATAGTAGGAATACACCAAATTAGAAGAGAGGAACACAGAATCCAACAAAGCTCATTAAACAAAACTATTAACGCGAAAGGCTCAACAGCTTAGTAAACCCTCAGATAAGGACTTAATGCCCCCATGATGAGACACAACAATTTTTACAAATTTTCTCTTACTAAAGTATATTCTGTTAATTCCATTAGCCACTTAGTTGTAACAAACAATATAAATTACTTTGGGCCTGCTAAGGGGGTAGGCACGGGGTGGGGGTTTGGGAGAAAATGAGGACAATGGTGGAGGGAAAGTGATACTGGTGGTGGGATTGGTGTCAGAATATTGAAAGCCTGTAACAAATGCAACATGAACAATTTTGTACACCATGGTGTTTGAATAAAGAGTAAACATTTGTTTAATAATAAAGTGCCATATTATTTGAAAGGGAACTTAAATGACTTCTAAGTTTATAATAATGCAAACTTTAGGGTAACCACTAAAATAACCTTTTAAAAAAGCTTATCACTGATAAGCTACAAAAGAGGAAAAATACCATCATATAAAATTCTCAATAAATGTACCGAGATTTAGGGACCAGGGATTTGTCTCAACGGTTGAACATGTCCACTTATGTCTTAGGCCCCGTGTTTCATCCTTGGCTCCAAAAATAATGATATATTAAGTCACAGATATATAGACTTCCTCACATGATAAAATAAGTGAAAGTCACAGACTAGACAATCTCTCACAGCAAAAAAATAAATGATGTAACCACAGAATATACAGCTATTAAATCTATGTATTTTAACATATTAAAAATGTTAAATAAAAATTGTGTTACAACATATTAAAAATATCTCCTACAGGACTGTTGAAAGATAAGGGCAAGAATGAGACTACAAAGACAAGACACACATCTTCTACCCAAAAAACAAAAAACACCAATTCTGAAAGATAAATGCACATTAATGTTTGGTGCAATGTGTCTTTTGGTGCCCAAAACACAGGCATAAACCGGTGGAAAATGAGCAGAAGTCAGAAGATTAAGTACTAGGTGATCTCACACATATGTGTGATACTGAGAAGCAAAGCAAGGGAACAGATATAACCAAACAAAAACAAACCAGTGGACTGAGGCCACTGAGCTGAGGTTACCAGAGGGAGGCCCTATGGGCTGCCATAAAGGATATTGGTAATTTAGTGGTTCTTTGTGGTGTAGTAACGTTTACTTTGAAGAGGCATGAAACTGTACCCCTAAAACATATATAGCTATATAAACTAAAATTATCGCAATAAAAAATAAAACTAAATAAAAAAGAGACATACCAAATCATCAGCAGTGGTTCTTTTTTGCAAGAGAAATGGGATTTAGAATAATGGTAGGAAGGGGGGCATCTTTCTTGTTTATTACATATAAATTTTATTGAGAGTCTCTAGATACATAGTTAAACATTTAAAAAAGAAAAAGCAAAGAAAGCATAAAAGGAAAAATATTATCTACACAACCAAAAAAGTAGTTGCTGGTACCCTTTAGTCACTACCAAAAATAATTTCAGCCAAATCACTACAAACAATAACTTAAGACTCACAATTAACAGTTTTCAGCTTACAATTTCAAAAAGAACTAAGCAGGTTTATGCCTAAGGTTCACACAAACTAACATGTGAATCAAACTAGGGAACAAACAGGATTCTGGAGGCAGGAGAAATTTCAGGGAGCATCAAGATCTTGTCATAAAGAAATGGTATCAGTTGTTCAAAGAGGAAAAAAATCCACTCCTGTAAATTTATTTCAGTCTAAGCACTTTGTAAATATCATCTGTGGTTCCTTAAAATTCCTAAATGTGGGTCTGGAAACTTTTCCTTTTCTAATTCCATTTCCAGATCAGATGAAAAAGAACTTGATATTTACAGGTTGAATCCAGAAAATATTTCACATAACTCAGCATGATGAAGGGATTTAGAAACTATCTCTTGATAATACTCTATTTTGGGTTTAAAAAAAAACAACATAACTCAATTAACTTGCTATATCAAGTCAGACACATATACAGAGTTTAAAAGAACCCATTGCTCTTAATTCTCAGACATTGTTTTTTTACATAGAGGACATTCATTTGACCTAACTTGAGGGGGGCAGGAGGGAGGGAAGGAGAAAGGAAGAAGGAAGGAAGGAAGGAAGGAAGGAAGGAAGGAAGGAAGGAAGGAAGGAAGGAAAGAGCAAGGAGGGAGGGAGGGAGGGCGGGGCAAGCATGATCTGCAGTGTGATCTTACAGAATAAAGACCATTGTCTAGGTGACTTCAGACAAATCACATCACTGTTGCAAACCAAGTTTTAACATTAAATGACCAAAGTTCAGAAGGAAAGCCAAGAATCTAGAAGTTTCAAGATGGGATTCAATGTGCATTCAATCATAGGATCAATGATAAACATTCCAGTCCAATTCTCAAATAGTTTTAAAGAGTCACACAAAATGAAAGTATAGAAAAGCAACATAAGAGAAAGGAAGAAAGTTCAGTAACTCCATACCATGGACCATTCTGGAGAGGTCAAACTAAATAGTACATCTATGGTTTAGAAGTTAGTACAGTGCTCCTCAGGTCACTCTCAACTCAGATTACCACGTATGAGAACCTCACACAGACACAGACACACACACACAAACACACACACACATAGATACACAGACACAGACAGATACACAGACACACAGAAAGACAGACATACACACACACCAGAGTTGTCAAGAAGTTAACTTCTCTCAAACATCTGTTTTTCATCTCTCAGTATTCCTTGCTACTAAAGTTGTAGTAGTAAGAGAATGTATCTAGCATAATTGGACAAATAATAACAAGCAATATAAATTACACATGCTGTTAAGGCCAGGAATTTTGACTTCTCTTAAAAATAACACTCAAAAATGGTAACTGTCCTAACGAAAGGAACAACAGGAACAGTAAGGCCTAAATCTGTTTCTGAGCCATACAAGACAATAGTCCTCATCATGCCTAACTTTGCTGTCAGGTCTGTGTCCATCGCTTCTTTTCCCACTTATTACAGGGTTAAGAGTCCTTAAACATCTGAGTTCCTTTAGGGAAAATTCTTCCCATATCTTATCTATGTTGTCTATATGTACATTGCTCATCGATTTTCTCGAGCAGGCCCAGTAATGTCTCCATCGTGAGACTTTGTTGTTACTGTGTTTGGCATATCAAATACATCATGCGGAGCTTGCCAGGCTTTGCCGTGTGGGCTGGAGCAATAGCACAGAGGGTAGGGCATTCGCCTTACACGCGGCCAACATGGCCGACCGGAGTTCGATTCCTCCGCCCCTCTCGGAGAGCCCGGCAAGCTACCGAGAGTATTCGATATGCCAGACACAGTAACAACAAAGTCTCCAATGGAGACGTTACTGGGCCCGCTCGAGCAAATCGACGATCAACGGGAGGGCCTTTACCTTACCTTTTTATATGTACATGAAGATATCCTGTCTTAAGTCTCTAAGTGGAAATGTCCTCAGATTCACACAGTGACAGTCTAATGTGTTGGTTTATTACTCTTATTCTTAACTTTGCTTTATATTTCTTATAGAACCTAAGTTTTAGCACAGCGTTAAAGTTCAATGTTAAATAATTAGACTAAGACAAACCACTGTAATGAGTTTAGAGAGAGAGAGAGAGAGAGAGAGAGAGAGAGAGAGAGAGAGAGAAAGGAAAAGTGTTTGCCATAGGGGCAGGCAGGAGGGAGGGAAACTGGTGGTGGGAGATGTACACTGATGAAGGGATGAGTGTTGGAACATAATACGACTGAAACCCAATCATGAACAACCTTGTCACTGTGTATCTCATTGTGACTCAATAACAAAAAAAAAATTTTTAAAAGACAAACAATTTTAACCCAAAGTAATGGTAAAGTACAGGGCAACTGCTAGCCTATATAAAATCTTTGTAGAGGGTCTAGAGAATTAGGTCAAATTACTAGAGTGTATGCTTTGATTGTGGGAGGCCTGATCCAATCGCCAGCACCTCATGGTCCCCTGAGCTTACAGCTCACTGACATGAACAACAAGTAAAGGATGCAATTTTCACAGTGTTATACTTACTGATAAACTTGTTTTGCATAGTCTCCAACAGAGCTTGGTGAGCATCTTCAGCTTGTAAAGCATGTGAACATTCTCTTGCCAATATAGTGCGCACAAGATGCTCCCCACATCCTAGAAATCCAAGGAAACCAAGAACAATTAAGGAACAGCAGCACTCAACATTCTTCTTGTTTTAGCATTTTAAAAAAAAACCTGTATATCACATAACAATTAGTTGTGTTGGATCATAATTTTATGTTGGATGAAATGATTTCTGTGGGCAATCTAGTGATTTTTAGTAATGCAATCTGCTGAAATAAAAGAAACACATTGACTAATATCAAAAGGGAGCAAAAAAAAAAAAAGAGGAAAACATTTTCCCCCATAGGCATGATTTGCAGGAATTACAGGAATGTAGATTCTCTAGGGAATCGCCTAAGATTCTCTCATTTCCATTTTTCAGTTAATTATAAAACACTTTTAAAGAACTTTTTCTTTTTTCACAAACAATTGATCTAAACATCTCATTTTCCACTAACACCTATAGTCTTCCAACAACAACAACAAAAAATTTGGGTGGCAGGGCAAGCCAAATCTATTTTTCAGTGAAATGTTCATCATAAATTAAGAGTTGTAAAGTGGAAACAATACAACAGCATCCTTCTCACTTTATTAGAGAAATTCCCATTGCTTTCAGAGCTGAATGAACTGTGTTGTTATTTTTTAAGTGTATTTTAATCTCATAAATGAATCTCAAACATTCAGATTACTGAAAATGGACTGGCATGGTGATGGGGAGAGACAGTACCTAAAATTCTATTAACTTCTTTGATCTGTCAAATATAGAAACTACCTACAAAAAAAGACTAAGAAATTTTAATTTACAAATGATAACATATTTTTCTGAAGAAAGGGCCTATTTCCTAGAAATAAAAGCTAATTTTAAAAGCTACTCTGATAGAGAACAAAAGGGAATGCCCTGCCACAGAGGCAGGGTGGGATGGGGGGGATGGCAGGTGGGAGGGATGCTGGGATCCGTGGTGGTGGGAAATGGGCACTGGTGGAGGGATGGGTATTTGATCACTGTATAACTGAAACCCAAGCACAAGAATTTGTAAGTCTACAACTGTACCTCATGGTGTCTCACTAATGAAAATTTAAAAAATTAAAAACAAAACAAAAAGCTACTCTGATAAATATTGGGGAGGGGGGCAGTTTAAGCAAATGTTTAAAAATATTACAAAATTCTAATAATAAATGTCACTTGAAATGTTTCTTATATATGAAATCAGTTTCACTAATTCGAATTATCAGTGTCCTCTTATTCAAATGAGAATGGTGGATACACAAGAATTTTAAAACATATCTCTTATTTTACATATTTTTCCATTAACAATAAACTACAACAAATTAAAAAGAAAATAAAAATTCCTAACTGAATTTGCTGAATTTCTGCTTTCGATAGCACAGCTGGTAGGGCCTTTGCCTTGCACGCAGCCGACTCAACCGACCCAGGTTCAATTCCTCCGCCCCCCTTGGAAAGCCCGGCAAGCTACCAAGAATATCTCGCCCACAAAGCAAAGCCTGGCAAGCTACCCGTGACGTATTCGATATGCCAAACACAGTAACAAGTCTCACAATGGAGACATTACTGGGCCCGCTTGAGCAAGTCGATGAACAAAGGGAGGACAGTGACAGTGACAGTGACAGTGACAGTATCTTGAAAAAAAAATTACTGCCAAAGATTTCCTTTAGTACTAGAAAATCCTCCACTGGTTTTATATAACATGTAAAATGTACCAAGCAAGCAATGCATCTACTGAGACTGAACCCATCAGTTAAAAACTGCTGACAGGGGCCGGAGCAACAGTACAGTGGGTAGGATATTGGCCTTGCACATGGCCGACCTGAGTTCAATTCCCAGCATCCCATATGGTCCTCTGAGCACGGTCAGGAGTAATTTCTGAGTAAAGAACCAGGAGTAACCCCTGAGCATCAAGGTGTGACCCAAAAAACAAAAAATCTAAAAAATATTTAAAATCATGACCAAAAAACATCTCCATACTCCACTCTGATTCCCAGTCCTTGTATGTATTAGACAACAAGATGATTTTTCATTTGATTAATCTTTATGCTAGTATATGTGTGTAGATACACATAGACACACAGTTGATGTTGGCAAATGGTGAGAGAAGTTCTAAGCAATCAAAAGAAAAAAAAAGGTGAACTAAGGAAATTAAAATAACCTTTTAAGAATTCATGAAACTTGAATCAACACAAACTGATTTGACACCCAATTCCCTGGTTAGTTGATATGTAGTATGACACATGGTGGGCATTAAACACAAATTTCCCTTACAAATATCATTTATAATTATTACACCATACTAGGAACCCTCATTTCAAAACCTCTACGTATAGTATCTCCCTTCTACCATAACTTCTTTCCCTCCTTCCATCTCCATCATTCACTAAATACATGCATAAATGCATACATATATACGTGCATACTATGCCTACACACACAACATATGCTCACTGCCCAAAATAGAAACTGACTGAAGCCTAGATTCAAATATAAACTAGTACAACATGTCAACATTTAAAAAAAAAAAACCTCCAATGGATGCTTTGCAAGAAATAAATCTCCTGCATTTTGGGGGGTTGGGGGGGTGGATAAAGAAAAACTGTAACTATACTTCAAGATTTAAATCTCTGTAAGTGGCCTGACTTAGAAAAAGATCTAGATATGTTATATGTAAAATTAATATATAATTTGGTTGTCAAAATTGAGCATTTTGTTGAATTTTTACAACATTATTTTAATAATTAGCAGCGGAAATGATAATAATATTGGGGGAAAACATTTCTGACATTACATGGAGCTATAGTGCTAAGCTCATAAAACTCAGTAAGTTTTAATTCTTTTTTGGGAATTATTTGAAGTAAAACAGTGAAATACTATACCTTAGAAAAAATAATTTTTAGGAAATTGGCATACTATAAGCTAAGTGAGCTTTCAGAAGGTTAGGTACACAGTCACTAGTCAAACAGCTAAACCACATGAGTTAACATTACATCAAAAATACACATGTCAGCTACACTTTTTCCTTTGTTACACAAGAATATTCAGGATTTTTAAATGATTGATATTTTTAATAAGAAACTTAAAATTACAACTTCTTATTCTAGCATGTAGCACCATAACATCAGAGCCATGACACAAAAAAGCTGTCTCTCCTTTAAGTTCTAATGAAAGAAAAGTTTGGGGAAGGGAGTTTTTTTAAATTTTTATTAAGACACTGTAATTTACAAAATAATTCCTAATAGAGTTGTTTCAGGCATACAATGTTCCAACACCAATCGCAAGACCAGTGTTCCCAGGTTCCCTTCCTCCTCCCAGTCTGCTATCTTGGCAGGCATATAGCAAGTTTATTTCATATTACTTGCTCCAACCCGAGTGGGCCCAGTAACATCTCCATTGGAGACTTTGTTGTTACTGTGTCTGGCATATCGAATACTCTCGGTAGCTTGCCGGGTACTCCTAGAGGGGCGGAGGAATCGAACTCGGGTCGGCCATGTTGGCTGCGTGCAAGGCAAACGCCCTACCCGCTGTGCTATCACTCCAGCCCGAGGGTGTTGTGGTTTGCAATAGAGGTATTAAGTGGCCATCGTGTTCGGTCCATATTATTCCAGAATTGAGGAATATAGGAACTGAGATCCAAGAGACCCAGACTCAAAGGGTCTCAGTGAAATTGGATTCAACCAGGGAAATTCCAAGACAAACTGTGCTCAAAATGACAAAAAGCCAAAGACAGTGAGGGGCAGAGAAATAGCACAGAAATAGTCTCAGCACGAATCCCCTATCCTGAGCGAATCCTCCAAACACCCTTTATTTGATGTTCCCTTCTCTATCTGAGCTGCCTTTCCCCCCAGCATGTGCTGGCTTCTAAGCCGTAGGAAAAAATGGGCTCAGATCTCTACCTAACACCATGTACAAAAGTAAGATCAAAATGGATTAAAGACCTCAACATCAGACGGGAATCCAGAAGGTATATTGAAGACAAGGTCGGCAAAACCCTCCACGACATTGAAGCTAACGGTATCTTCAAAGATGACAGGCCACTGGCCAAGCAAGTGAAAACAGAGATAGACAAATGGGACTATTTTAAACCAAGAAGTTTCTGTACCTCAAAAGAAACAGTGACCAAAATACAAAGACAGTTTACAGAATGGGAAAGGTATTCACTCAATACCCATCCAGTAAGGGGTTGATATCAAGGATTTACAAAGCACTGGTTGAACTCCATAAGAAGAAAACATCCAACCCCATCAAAAAATGGGGTGATGAAATGAACACAAACTTTCTCAAAGAAGAAATCTGAATGCTCTACATCATTAATCATCAGGGAGATGCAGATCAAAACAACAATGAGATATCATCTCACACCACAGAGACTGGCCCACATCCAAAAGAACAAAAGCAACCAGTGTTGGCATGGATGTGGGGAGAAAGGGACTCTCCTGCACTGCTGGTGGGAATGCCGACTGGTCCAGCCCTTTTGGAAAACAGTATAGAGAACTCTCAAAAATTCAGAATTGAGCTCCCATTTGACCCAGCAATACCACTCCTAGGAATATATCCCAGAGAAGCAAAAACGTACAGTCGAAATGACATCTGTTCTTCTATGTTCATTGCAGCACTGTTTATAATAGCCAGGATCCGGAAAAAACCTGAGTGCCTGAGAACAGATGACTGGTTAAAGAAACTTTTTACATCTACACAATGGAGTACTATGCAACTGTTAGAAAAGATGAAGTCATGAAATTTGCATACAAGTGGATCTACATGGAAAGTATCATGCTAAGTGAAATGAGACCAAAAGACAGGGACAGACATAGAAAGACTGCACTCATCTGGGAAATATGAGGTAACAGAATGGGAGACGAACACCCAAGGATAGTTAAGATCAGTACCACATATATTTTAATGTAATTTCCAATAAAATCATGTTGTCAAATCTCATCTTAATTTACAAAACAAGCTGACAAATTTTTGTAACAATTATAAGCACTGAAATTTAACGATTCTTGACTGATCTTCACTGCATTTGAAAATAATTTTTAATCTG